CTCGGGCCCCATCGGCTGGCTGACGACATGATCTACGACGTGAACAGCCCGCTCTTCAAGCACCTCGGATGCAAAGCTGGGGTTGCTCACTGCAATTTTCTAAGCGCTCACTCGCCATCCGTTGCAGTTCCACAGCAAGACCCCCAAAAATTATCTTCTTGGGTCAGAGGACCGCAGCCGAGACACTTTGTGCATGTATGTCCTTTCCAACCTGCAATATGTTCGCTTGTCTGCGCATAGCCAGAGTGGCACAACTCCTAGTCCCTAGAAAGTATTTTGACAGCCCCCTGGACCTTGTCGTGCCCGATTGTCTCCTGAGGATGGAAACGTATGTTTGAATTTATTGTTGAGCAGGCCTCTGAGGGGTTGCGGAATCACCTAGTCCACGAGCGGTAACACATCCGTTTGCCAGTTCCTATTCCCAAATCAAAACGTCTATATACAGCCTGTATTTGTCAGTGTGTTTCTGTGTGGCTGCCTGCCTGCCTGTCTATCTGTCTCGTCTCTGTGTCTCTGTGTCTCTGTGTCTCTGCGTCTCTGCGTCTCTGCGTCTCTGCGTCTCTGCGTCTCTGCGTCTCTGTGCCTGTCTCTGTGCCTGTCTGTCGGTCGGTCGGTCGGTCGGTCGGTCGGTCGGTCGGTCGGTCGGTCTGTCTGTCTGTCTGTCTGTCTGTCTGTCTGTCTGTCTGTCTGTCTGTCTGTCTGTCTGTCTGTCTGTCTGTCTGTCTGTCTGTCTATCTGTCTCTCTCTCTCTCTCAGTGTGGCTTCAGCGGCTGAAAAAAGAGGCTTCTCCTCGTCAGCGTGAACATGCGACGGCGTACTTGCTGTCGTCACCTCATCTGGCAAAGAATCGAGCCACGTTGTCATAAGCACCCAGCAAGACATATCCAGCCTGTGCGCCTTGGCCCGCAGTGTGAACTGTCCAGCTTCCTTTGCTTCCACCGAGCCCCCACTCCGCGCGGACCCCTGGCAAGGGAGGCCTCCGACCCGGAGAAACCGCAGGGCTCCACCGTCCCCACTTGCAAGACTTCCCTTGGGCTCGGGTTCTCAGCCCTGACTCTGAGGCAGTTCCTCTCCGAGAAGGTGATGCGCAAGGCGGCGGCCAAGGACAAGGCAGGGATCCCATAGCCTTGGCCGCACGGGGAATGACACCAGTTTCTAGATTTGAGTTTCAGTTAGAAGCATGAACAACGTGGCACTGTGCGGCAGTCTCCGGAAATTCTTTTCAGGGTGCAGAGCATCTCAGATTTCGGATTGGGATGGGTTGACGTCCACCACTTCTGTGCCTGCCCAGGATTTCGAAACTGACGGAGGCCCCCCCCCCCTGCGACAAACCTGTGCATAAGCTGGGATTGGCCAGCAGCAGCCAAAAGAGGTATCAAACAAGAAACATGGTACCCCTCGCGGAGGTTGTGGAAAGGAAACGCCAACCCTCCGGTTTCAAGGTCCACCATGACGCACGCCCCCAATGGGCCTGGTAGGAACAAGCAGGCTAAATGGCCGGAAAGGGTGGCAATTTTGCTGCGATGTTGTCAGGCATGTAGAGGCTTGCAGAGATTCGCTCGTTTTTGCGCTTTGTCAGATTGTTGCAGCTGGCAGGTTTTCTACTGCGATTTGTGACCACATTGTGCCACCTCTTTTTCAGGCGGCTGTTCAGCGAAATCGGAGGGCCTGAAACCTGTTGCCTTCACCAGCTTTTCAATCAGTGCTTCATGAGGCAATCGCCTGGGATACCTGCCACAGGTTTTGGCTGGAATGTTGCCTTTCCAAGGAGGGGCGCACCTATTCTGGGATGTGCATTGGAGGAGGGAATGCAAACTCAGATGATCAGCAGTGGGCGCCTTTTGCGTGTTTGTCATTGGCCCCCCTCCCCAATTCAATCAGGAATCAATGGCAGCAAAAAGGCGCACGCCCTTTTCATGAAAAGATGCCTTTGGGAACCTGGGCTTTGGTGTTTCGTCATTCTGGTGCTTCAATGCCGCCACTTTTTCCTAGGCCCACGATTCCTCTTACGCCTTTTCAATCTGAATGGAACCCCTCCTAAACACTAAGTCCCGCTGGGAAATGATTCACCACAGGTTGCCTTGAGCAGAATTCACGCCTGCTTGTGGGCCCTTCCCCCAAATGCAGGGTCCGTTCTGTTTTTTTTTCCCGGGTTTTTGGGTATGTTCGTTTCCCTTGCCACTCGCTTTACCCCCGGCGCCGACCTCTCAGGGCGCAGCCCCGAAGAGCGCGGGAGGGGGCGGCGGCAAGGACCGGGCCATGGCACACCCGGCGTCTGTGGGGTGTTAGCGAAGGCGTTCCCCGCCCTCCGCACCCGGAGCTCGGAGCTCGCGTCTTTTTTTTTCTTCTTCTTCTTCTTCTTCTCCTTTCTCCAAATGAAGGACCGTTTGTGGAGTTTTTTTCGGCATGTCTTCGAGTGTTCAACTTTCAGCGGCTGCGCAGAACAAACTGGTAACGGTTTAAAGCCACAAGCATGCTCATGGAAGACGTTCCGCGGCCCTTGTCCTCAGAACTCGTTCTTGGAATCCATTCGTTTTGAGTTTGATGGTTCACCGTCTCCAGAGCAAAGAACCCACCCACTGTTTTTCTTGCTCGCTTTCTTTCGGTCTCGCAGCGACTTCTTTCATTTGTTGCTCTCGCTGCTTTTGGTGATCAGAGCCACAGACGAAGAAAGCACGTGAGGCTTTCTTCTTAAGTTCGAAAGGTTCTTGAGCTAGACCTTGGTCAAAGCCAAGCTCTTCACTTCATGTGGGTGGGTGTTTTGTCGATGTTATCATTTAGAGATGCTCAATATGTTCCGTTGCGAGCCTGGGGGCGGATTCTGCAGAAAGTGCATGGCTGGAGCTTGGTCAAGCGGCCGGATGCCATTGATGCGTCGAAACGGAGGAACGAGTGAAAACAAAAGAGAGGAAGCTCACAGGCAGCAAACAATTTTACATGCAAAGGAGAAAATCAACCACCAAGAACCACACTTTGCAAAAAGCACGCAGCTGCTTGTGGATGGGAGGAAGGACGAGGAAGATGCAACAACTCTCTTCGGGGGCCGATTCTCCCATTTGCAAGGAGTAGTCTAGTACGTAAGCTCCCTCTGAAGTCAGCATCGGTATGAGCTTCACTGGGACACCCTCAAATTGTGTTTGCTGGACGTAAATCTCGATGTCTGCCGACGGGTTACCAACGGAATTCACGCACCTGTAATTTCACGAGTTTTTGCACCAGCCATGTACCGGGCGCGTATACTGGCCGGTATGCCTGGCCCGGCTGCCGGACGGACAGCGGCGGCACCTGCGGCGGCGAGTACAAAAAAGCTGAAATGCCGCATGCGGAAGGATGGTTGGTCTTTGTTTGGTGTAGCTGTTGGGAGGGGTGTGTGTGCAGTGTGTGTGTGTGTGTGTGTGTGCGCGCATCATGTTGCAGTTTCGGATTTGCTCAATGTGGATCATAATCTAAGCAAGCGGGCCCAGAAGGGAAGGGCAGGCGGGCGTGAAAGCTTCAGTGATGGGTTCTTGTGTCATCAGTCATCCAGTCATGAGATCAAGTTTCATTCAAGATGCGAAGAGCCTTTTGGATGTGTGCGTCTTCGGATGATTTGTGTTTGGAATGGACTGTTCTTTGTTCAGTGAAGAGCTGGTATCGGGCTGTCCACGTGCTGGCAGTGCTGTTTCTGACATATATATATATATATATATGTGTGTTTGTGGTGTCTACGCTCAAGGCATGGTTATTGCACTTCCCTTTGCTGCTGCGTCTTTTAGTCCGATCATATCACATTCTCGCGACTCATTGCCTTCATATCTTCGTCAACCGATACGCACATGTTCGGTTGACATCTTACACGTCTCTCCAATCCACCTTTGCCACTCTACAGTAGAACTGCTAGGGTCTTCTTCTTTCTGGCCCACAGGACAGTTCGCATGTACAGTTTGTTCTTGGATCTCCAAGGCTGTTGCTCCAATTCCTGTGGCCCGCACGGCAAATTCCCCCGCTGGCAAGGCGGGCAGGACCCAAGGCATCGCTCCAAGGATTTCTCATCAATCCCCCGGCATGCGCCATCGCGACCCAGCATCGCGACCCAGCATGGTGATCCAGACTGGCTTGCCGCAGATTTCCGGGGTGTTTCCTCAGATTGGTAGTCTTCTTCTATTGTGTGGTTTCTTGTGTCCTCTTGCCTGTTTTTCATTCAACACCCAAAAGGGGCCTCTCCCATTGTCCAACACATGTTGGGAAGCACCCATGTTCGCGAGGCGTGCGTTCAATTGCCGCGCCCGCTGAGGGTGGGGGCCTGCACGGGTCGGCTCCAGCACTTTGGGGGAGAGGAGCCTGAGGCGGCAGATGGCGCAGGGTGGGTGGGTGGTTGGGCAAATGAACCTGTGGCGTACGGGACCACGATAGCATGGGGCTCTACAATTCGGTTTGGGGTTGGGGATAGAAAAGCGATCTAAGTTTCTGGCAATTCAAGATCAAAAGGAGGTTTGAGTAGTTGTGGTTTGCACACGTGGCTTCAACGTGTGAAGCAGAGGTCTGGCGGGCAGGGCTTTGTCAAAATAGGGTTTTCAAGCTTTCCTTATGGGCAAATAGCTGCTGGTCACTGATTGCTTGAAAGAAACCCGTCCGGGGGCGGGTTCATACCCTTGGCGACCTGTTTCCGTTTGCCTGGCTATGGCCCGTTTTTCCATGGGCGCAGCACAGAGTTGTGGCCAACACAAAGCATGCATGAGCTGGTTTCCCTGAAACTTGCTTCCTTCATTCTAGCCAGAGGGGGAGTATTCCCCCTCAAAGTCATTATCAAGCTTGGGCCGACATGGGCGCATGTAACTTTTCGCGTGCAGGACTTTAAGCACGGCTCCAATTGGCCGCGCCCTCGGGCCGAAGCTGCAAAGGATTTTGGCCGAAGTGGCAGTGTTTTTTCCTGGAATTTCTTGGGTCCGAACATTTCTAGGGATACCTGGCTCTGAATCTTAGTGGACAGGTCCCCAGTTTCAAGCTTGCTTCGGGCTGAGGTCTACAGCATGCCTGGAGTTCGGCACTCACAGAATAGGTGTCAAGCAGGCGGGCGAGCGAACGGGAGGTGAGTGTACGGGGAGGACATCCAGCGGCAAACGGCAGAAACCAGCTCTGCTTTGGCCAGTGGGCCTATGTCAGTGCAGGCCAGGCAAACTCTCGTGTGTGTGTAAGCTTAAAACAGCCCCGAGCGTGTACGCCATGTTGTTTCTTCCCTGGGCCTGGTTGACTGGGAAGTTCCATCCATGCTCTTGGTTTCCTGGCTGCGAGGACTGGGCTCGTTTGCCAGGTCTTTTCTGGCCGCAACCACTGGGCAACCCTTGTGCGCTGCATCGGAGAGAAACCGTGCCGTCCATGTTCTCGGCGGGGGTGCAGACATCCTCCCCTGCTTGATGTTTCGGGAAGTCCCTGCTTGATGTTTCGGGAAGGGGATGGTTCCCTATGTTCCTCTTCTGGTGGATTCAAAATACATTTTTGGTCCTTTTTGGCTTCCCGGTGAGGAGTGGTCTGCCGCCTGGAACCAGATCTCGCTGAAGGCGGCCTTCCTACTGCCGGCGCATGGCTCCATGACCGATGTGTTCCAGGACGCCGGCCGTGTGGGAGGGGGGGGCGGGGCCGGCCCTGTTCGGATGCGTGGGGGCCGCGGGGGGGCGGGGGGGGGAGGGGGTGGAATTTGCCATACCTCCAGCCTTTTCTCATGATTCACAGCACTGCCCCATGCCCGTGTTGCAGCCGCAATCATTTCTAGCCTGCCTTTAGAGGATTTCTGCAAAATTACCCCACCAACAGCTGCCACCAAGGGAACGTGGGCCTTATAATCACGCAACCACACTGTAAAAAATCATGGTATGAAGGTTCTGCATGTCATTCAAGCTGTTCAGCAGGCCTCCGAGAGTCCAGCTTTGCGACAGTTTGCAACTTGAGGAGATCGAGCTGGGCTATCTTCCTAAGGAGTGGGAGGACTGCCTTGATGGGAGTGGGGAAGGGGGCGATGCACTGGGTTGAGCGGCTCAGCAGTGGAAGTTTCGAGCGTGTTCAAGAGGTGGTGGGGGTCGTGACTATGCAGGTGGGCGCTGAGCCCACGACCATCGAGCGCTACTATGCTCCCTTGCTGCGGGTACGGCGCCGAGATGGGTGTTGGGGGTGCTAATGACCTGGCCGTGTGTTTAAACAAGATCGCAGTGGTTGGCTTTTCTCATGGTGCCATCAAAAAGCGGTCCCTAGGTGTTGCGTCACAGGCGTCTCATTCATCCTCAAAAGGCACTTGCCGGTGCCCGTTTCTGGTAGTTTAGGGTTTTGCGCTTTTTTGGGGGTCCGTTTCTTGGTTGTGAAGCCGGTAGATTAGGGTTTCTCGTTCGAAGCCGGCTCGCGGGGTGAGCCAGCGCTGGCAGCTGAGGTGCCCATATACCAGCCCACTACCTTCTCCATGCCGGGCTCAGGGGCCGTGGGCCAAGGATGGTCCGGGCTCTCTACATGTTCCCTTTTTCCTTTTCTTGAGAATTTCTTGGATAGGCGCGTTAGTGAGTCCTTCCTTCAAGTGGCATGAAAAGAGGAGATACGGGGAGCCCTTCGGTCCCCACAAAAGCTTTCTGGGATGTCCCCGCTACGTCTAATTCATGGCGTCGTGTAAGTGAATAAGTGGACCCCAGTTTGATTCTATGGGCATTCTGGTCAAGCCTGTTCGAGAGTTAATGCCATGGAACAGGCGCCGTTGAGCGCACAGGACACCATGATTCGTATCATTCTTGGGTAGGTTGTGACACGGCTGTACCTCGCGACGGAGGAGGATCATGGGCGCCACGAGGCCAGCGGGGGAGTGGGAAACGAATGGGCAACTGCAAACTTTGACCCCTGATCAATCAAACACTTTTTAGGTTGCATTCATTAAGCCAATTTTCCGGGAAGACACGAATTCTCACTACAAAAGGACCCCTGATTGACAATTGTGTGTGTGTGTGTGTCAAGGACCAGGTCAACAGTATTCTTGGTGCTGATTTGAAAACGTCAGTGACCAAACCATCCAAGTGTCATGCCCCCAAAGCACCTTGAAAGGGGAACGGGCATTCCACGCCCGTCAAGTGAGGAACTGAACGGGCAACATGGTCGAACTGACCTGCCAAGCCATGTCTGTTGCGACAACAGAACTTGGAAAGCCGAGGGTAGATGTGGTTACATGGTGCGACAATGACCAGTCGGCCCTCCCCTCCCTCTTCTCCTCTTTCTGACCAGAGAGCTCAGCTTAGCCCAAAGAGACAAAGTCAGGGGGGCAGGGGCTGGGGCTGGTGGATGCTTGGGTTTCATCCACAAGTCTTTAGAGATGTGGACAGAGAACAATGGAGCACCGTGGAGAAGCCTCTGGTTCCTCGAGGGACGGCCGATTTCTTGCTGTGGGCCCAGGCTGGCGAGTACTGGTGCCCTGCGCTGTTGCGCTGTGGGCCCGGCGAACCGAACGGCACTTGTTGGCTGTAGATTGCGCCTAAATTGGGAGTCTTTGGTGGCGAGCTTTCTTCGGATCGCATTCATTCTGTTGGAACGTGCAAGGGGTGCGGCCATGCCACATCTGAAGATAACAACCGGAGTCAATCCAAGAGCCCCCGGCTCAGCATGGATTGATTTCTTGATTGCGTCGGCCGGGCTCCTCAAGTATGTTCAGACCGCCTGTGCAACAAGTCCTTCAGGGGTATATCGGCCTTGCACCCAAAACCATTTGTATACATGGGGTTGCCTTGAAAATGGGCGAGCCTCCAGAATGTCTCGTTTCCCTTTGGTTTCCGTTCAAAGCAGCCCGGAAAGGGGTACCACTGTGGCAGGTTTGGTTGGAAATCCCGGCTAGCTTGGCCATATTGAGGGTGCCACGGGAGGTACACCTATGGTGCCACGACCATCCCCGTGGTGAACGCCACTGTGCCAGAGCAGCAGTTCCTCCACGAGCGGGGCGAGTGGGTCAAGGCCGGCGTCCAAGGGAGGGGGAGGGGGTGGTTTCCTTGGGGCTTTTGTTTGCTTTTTGTTTGCTCCCGATTTTGAGGTAAGTGCTCATACCCTCTTCCTTTTGCATGCTATGGGGCCAGTTGTTTTTGAGGGACACAAAATCCTGCGCCATCAGCCTGCATTGCGACCCTCAGCAAGTGAAGCAACAACTGTCTCTACAAGCCAAGTCCGCCCTGCTTCAGGCAGCCCATCGCCCGCCCTGTGGCAGGATATTTCTTAACGGTTCCCTTTCCTCGGCCGACGGCCACTCGCAAGTCGCGGCAGTCAGTTGCTTGCGTGCCAGGCTCCGAGTAGCAGGCGGGCAGTGGCAGAAGTGGCTGGTGACTTAGGGCTTGGGCTGGGCAAAATCGAGAAATGGCGAACCGATGTCTCCTTTTCAGTCTTCCTGACTGCGTAAGGCATGCGTGCTTGTTTCCCCCCTCGAATTGTGGCCAGAGTAGTTGCAGCATGTCTGACCCCTGCAGTGGATTTCCTGTGCAACACTTGATGCTGCATAGTCGCAGGTTCCCACCGGTCTTCGTGGAAAGCCGTTTGCGTTGAGAAATGTCTTGCAAAGTCCTTCCGACAGGCAAGTGCTTTTTGCACGGAGTCTTCGGACAATCTGGTCTCACGGGTTTCCCTGTGGCTCAGCATAGCTGGACTCCGGGCCACCACGCGCCCATTGCCCCATTGCCCGCTGAAGGCTGGTTGACTATGGGCACCGAGGTAGCTCACTAACGTGCCCCGGCTCAGGTCATCACCCTAGAGGATTTTACCCGATACGAGTACCGGGTCCAGCTGCTGCCTTAGTGGAACCTCGTGCGCTCGTGGGGGTCTCAACTGCGGGGCTGTCTCCAACTTTGAGACCCCTTTTTAGCTTTAAGCTGCCCCACCCCTCAACCGCCCCAATATGCATAGAGCTTAGACTGCACGCATGTGGTCTTCTGATCAGCCCAGGGGCTTCACTGCAGCCTTGGCACGGGATCGGGTGGGCCTCGCCCACGCGAGGCCTGTCATCTACCCACTCCTCTCGCTCCTCAGCGAGGTGGGGGCCGCACGACGCGTGTGCGGGAGGCAGCGGCAACCTTTGCTGGAGGACAAGGGCCACAAAGCCAGGATAAATGAAAATTGTAGATTAAAATGCACGACAGGCGTTCCACCCAAAAGTGAAGGCTTCCAAAAAAAAGGACACCGTAGTCGACCAGTTATTCTTTTCCTACCCAACCCTGGATTCAAGTATGTATATTTGTTCATCAAGGCGCTGTCTAGAACGTAGTATGCGTGATCCCTAGTGTTTACAACTCTTTTTTCAGCATTGAGTTATTCAGTTACTCCATTCCAAATGACAACCACACAAGACTGGTCCATTCTGCATCTTTTCAGGATCTGCAGTTTTGTGAGGCCAAGGGAGATTGCTGGCAGTTCTTGCCATGGCGCGAGAAGGCTACAAACTTTTGGGGTCTGCGCCTTGTTTGTTTGGCTTCCCAAGCCAGAGCCCACTCCGGCACCCCCTGTTTGTACTTGGGCAGTCTGAACTGGGTCAGTTAAAGTCGTTGTATGTTGAGTGCCTCTTCAAAGCACCTTCGGGCCCCTCAAGCCTCCACTTAGAGGGTCATTTATGAGGATATCAGTTCAGTCGAAGTTTCTGCCATTAGCCGGGTCTTTGCCCTTGGCAAGGGGCCCTGGAGGCCCTGAAAAAAGAGTAAGCTCCAAAGGCCTGGATTTTTGCCAGGTGTCCGGTGTCTTCGCCCTCTTCTGCTGGGCATTCGTGAAGGGACCGCTGGCCCGGTGCCCAGGCAGTTCAAACATGTTCAAAGGGTAAAACGCAGCGTGTGCATGTCGCAGGGATCCTCTTGTCGTTGTTCCGAAGTTCTTGCGTGACTGTTCAAAGATACGATGCTAACGCGGCCGGATGGAAAGATGTCGGGCGTGGGATGCCACTTCGCATATGTGAATGATGATGTGGCTGGGAAGAATGAGAGGTGGGGTCAAGGGTCTGCAGCCTGTAGACTTTTCCCCCTAGGTTGCTTTGAACATCCATGAAGGTTTGCACAGGCTTTCTGGAGGCCGGCTGTGCCAGCATTGGCGGCTCAGGTTGGCAGAAGATTTCAGAAGGGCCAAGAGGGCAAGCCGGAGGTGCGGGGTGAATCTGTGGGGGAGGGGGTCCCCCGGGGTCGCGGGAGTGTGGGAAAGGGTCGCTGCACCTGGTCTTGGGAGTCATGAACCAACAAGTGGATTTTTGCCCCCAAGGGACCAGTGGCGAGATTGGGTGAAGGGATGCCAATAGCTTCTGGCAAAAAGCCGCGCGTGTTCCACTGTGACCAAGCAACACTGGAGCATCTTTTTGAAGGGAGCCCATTTTTAGGGCTGCTGAAAAGGAAACAAAGAACACCCCCCCCCCCGGTTTCGCGGGCTTCATTGCCTGCTCGACCCAACGAGTCATGTCTCATCACCGGTATCCTTGGTCACGGGTCAAGGGTGCTTGCATGGTTGCTTACCGCCATTTCAGATGCCAGCCACAGAACTCAGCCGAGGATGTCGTGGAATCGGGATGTTTCGTCCCCTTTGCAAGTCCTGCCTCGCCTCCAGGATGAGGAGCAGCCAAGGGCGTGGTGCTTGGGGAGCAGAGGTTTCTGCGCTCGCAGTTAAACTGACGCCCTTCTAGCATCATTTTTCCAATCTTTCAAGGGGTTCCTGTTGATTGACAGTTGGGTTTTGGATTTTGTAGGAAGCGCCAAGCAAGTGTGAACGGCTTCCTGAACACGTTGCGCAAACGAAAGCTCCAGACAGTTTGTTCCAGTCTGCCTCTGAACAAAACTCGGCATGCGCGGATCAGGCGCGAGTCAATCACTTCGTGTGTTGTTTTTGCATGTTTAGACCTTACAACCTGGTGTGGTTGACCAGGGTGGCCATGCCAAAGCACACTGGCTGAGCTTGAACATGGGGCGCGCCGTTGTGGGACTACTCATTGGTTCAGCCTTCCTTCCGGGTTCTCGTCTTGGCTCATGCGGCGGGCCGCACTTTTCGCACACAGAATGAGTATTTCTGTTGGCTAGGTGCAGGCCCCCTCACGCACACATTGCGGGCAGCAGCAAGAAGAAGTTGCGGCTCCCAAATCTGCCCTTGTACTCAGTTCCTTCCCTTTCCCACAATGGGCTGCTTTTGCTCAGGTTGCCTTGCACGATGGCATGCAGTACAGGCCGGGGCCAGGGACAAGTGGGGTGCGTTTTAATTTGCTGGGGGCGAGGCGCTTTGAGTGGTTCCTTGTGGAAATCCCCCGCGCCCGGGATTCGTTGGCCAGCGGGCGCAGGGACTGTTGCAACTCGGCATGTCGTGATTGCTTTTGAAAGGAGACGAGGCAAGATGCGAATCTTTTTGGATTTGCCATGCCCCGAGGAGCATAGAAGCAGAAGCAGAGGACCCCGGCTCGGTTGGGAAAGGCGGCCCGATCTTGCCTTATGTTCCAAGGTTTCGCGCTGGGTGAGATTGCGAGGATGTGATGGAAGGAAGTGACACATGTTTCAAAGCGGGCAGTTCATTCATGAGCTCGCATTTCATTGTAGATGTTTTTTGGAGGGAGCGCTTGCTACGTACGGAAACCCATCCATGCACATTGGCACTCATGGCATGGAACTCAAGAAAGGCACACCACCAATCAGCAGTCGACCTTCGGCACATTTCGCTGGATGCAGTGAACATTTTGCTTCATGCTGCCTGTTGCACTTGTTTAAGGTGGCGCAATTTTTTTCTTCCGCAGCTTGCTTGGCCCCAGTTTTGCTCCCTTTTTTCGGCGTGCGGTGCTTCATGGTCAGCCCGGCGCTGCCGACGCGAGCTGGATGATTGGCTTCTGCTGCGGCTCGCGGTGGAGTGCCAAAAGTCAGGAGAACAAGTCGCTTCGACCGATGCCGTGGCGATGGCGTCTCCAAGGGCCTGGGGAATTGGAGCGGGGTTGTGGGGCCATGAGCAGTTTTGATTATAGGAGTACTAGTAGTAGTAGTAGTAGTAGTAGTAGTAGTAGTAGTAGTAGTAGTAGTAGTAGTAGTAGTAGTAGTAGTAGTAGTAGTAGTAGTAGTAGTAGTAGTAGTAGTAGTAGTAGTAGTAGTAGTAGTAGTAGTAGTAGTAGTAGTAGTAGTAGTAGTAGTAGTAGTAGTAGTAGTAGTAGTAGTACTAGTAGTAGTAGTAGTAGTAGGAGTAGTAGTAGTAGTAGTAGTAGTAGTAGTAGTAGTAGTAGTAGTAGTAGTATGCTGTCAGCAATTTTCCACTAGTATTACGCCCAAGTACATCTTGAAAAGCTGGCGGTGGGGTGGGTTGGGTTGGGGGGGGCCTGGGGGTTCAGTCTCTTTCATGAGGTGGCACCTTCGAGTGTGCACGCGTCATCTTTCAAAGGCCAATGCGAAGTGAGATTCGTTTCGGCGCGATGTGACAACTATCTTGGGAGGGGATCCCAAAGTTTGTGGACGCACACATTCGTCAGAGACTTCTAACACATTTCCTGATCAAAGGTCGCCAGTAAAGTGGAAAAGGCGGCTTACAAGGCAGATTTCAAGGTTCCTTGAGGGCTGGACGTCCGCCTCGCTCTGGTGCGCGCGGGTCTGTGAGGAGACAAGCTTCGACCGGCTGCTGTTGGATGGCTTCGCGCGGGTGGCGGGGGCCGGCCTGCTGCGGTCACAGCCCAGCAACATCAGCCGCAGGCGGGGCTCGGTGTTCAGATTTAATGCATCCTGCTGGCAATCAACATGGGGCCCCAAAAAGGGGTCCTAGTCAAAAAGTAATTTCCTCTGAGAGTTTCTGGCTTCCATGTTAAGTTGTAGGGACAAGGTGGCTCTCTTCAAACAAGCACCCCCAAGAAAGGGTTGTTTCTGCTGAATAATTTTTTGAAACAGTTTCTCAAAGGCATTCTAAAATATGACATTGGAATGTAGCATGACACCGATCTGCCCTGAATCTGCTTCCCTTTCAGCCATTTGTTATACATATCACTGAAAATTTGTCATTCAGGGCTGGGAGCTTAGGGATTAGGGTCAAGGTGGCGGTGCGGGTACACCGTTGTCGAGTGTTGCTTTTCGAAGGTGATTTTATTCCCTACCCACAGATTGCCCATGTGAGTTATTTCTCGACATGGCCAACCTGCAAGCGAGCTTGTAGGGATAATGCTTGAGGGATAATGCTTGAGGGATAATGCTTGAGGACAAAAGTGAAAATCCAGAGTTTGTTTGTCGAGGTGGGGAACGCGGCCGGCAACTGAAACGGCCACAAAACCAGCAGTCTTGATGGTGAACGGCCAATCCGTTGGCCCTGATGCGGAACCACACTTTAATTTTCGAGTTTCCGTTTGCAAACCGCGCTTCGACCATGTCCTTGGTTTTTTCTTCTGGGGGGGGGGCGGTCTAAGCATCACCTTTTGGCCAATGCTTATAAACCGGAACATTGCAAGTACTCTCCCAAGGTTGCTCACCGGATCTCAACAATCAAGGGTCATCAGGTTTCCGGTTGGGGTAGATTTTCAGGGAGCTGTTTGTCGGGAGCACTGCAGCGCATTGCCTCAGTGAATCCCAGCCTTTAGGAGACCAGGCCGCTCCTTTGAATTTTTGAGCAACTGCGCCTGATCGTCTTTGTGGAGGGTCGAAAAATAAACCCTACACCCCCCACCCACCCACCCGGCCATTTCAAATTAATCAGTGCACATGTTGTCACACTAACTCCCCGTGGGTGCCAGGCCTTTGTTGAGACCTGTAATGAATCAACCTCCTGCGAATGCCATATTGAGAAACAGCTGCTGCGCAGACTGCCTCGAGTGAGGCGACGCTGTGCACTCAGACCAGGGTCCTTTTCTTGCGAAAGGGCAGTTGAAACTCGCTGTTTCGCTCACCCGGTCTGGGACACATTCGGTTCAGTTCGATGGTTTGCCAAGTGCTAGGCGGCTGGATGGGAACCTCGGGGTGTGCATCCAGTTTTCCTCCACTCATTTTGCAAAGAAGCGGAAGGCCAACGACCAGCAGTCTGCCCCTCGAAGCGCAAGAAGCTACTACTTTACTTCTATTCTTATTGTTATTGAGTCTTCATGTTTGTTTTTGCTCTTTTAATGTTCATTGTCATACTGTTATTGTTCCGAAACTGAGCAACTCCACAATGGGCCACATGTTGCCTGCGCAGACAACAAGCCTCCCGGAACTTGTTGCAAGGGCCGTCCCAAACCATTGACTCAGACTCAAATATAGTGTTGTCACCGCGAGCTAGATTTTGGAAGGATCTGATTTGTTTTTCTTTGTTTTGTGGGTCTCAGGCGCTTTTTTTTTTTTTGGAAAGAGTAGGTTCTGGCAACACGTTGAGGTGGTCATGCCGGCGGACCCACAGGCCTTCAACTTCACAAAAATCAAGGAGGAGGAGGTGGGTACGTGTCAAAATAGGGGGACAACCAAAATGGTTGTTTGGCTCTTGATTTCCCTTTCAAACAACCTGAAAAGGATTCTGCGCCTCAAAAAATCGGCCAGGTGGTGGGCGTGGTGGAAGCCAGCGGCATGCAGGTAGTGTGCATGGTTTGTGCCTCCCCGCTCAGTGTGGGCCATATGCTCCTGGTGCCTCAGCGCGACAAGGTCTACCCGCAGGCGGGCAAATTTAGTTACCCCACGAAAATTGAAGATGAAAGAAAGGTGACGTAGTGGCTTATTGTGGGCCCAAGTGAACATTTTGAGGGTTCTTGATGTTTCTTTTCCAGTGTTTTATTGCAGTTTTGTGGGTTGCGCAGGTCCTCACTGAGGAGTTTCTGATGTGCGGCCTGCGCTTGCTAGCCCTGAGTGGTCGCCTGGACATCCGTGTGCTCTTCAACTCCCTGCTGGGCACCTTGCAAGAACTGGCATCGGATTTCTGGTTGCAAATTGTAGAGAGTGCGGCCGCCCCCTTAGATTTGGGAAGACCTCTGTGATGACAGGTCGATTTACCAGGTGGTTACACCAAATCTTGAAGGTCCTGGAACCCTAGAATTCTTTCTGTTCAGTTCGTGAATTTCAGTAGGTTGCCCAGATCTATTGGGTGTGTTTGATGCGTAGTTTTTCTGGCCTGTTCTGGCCTTGTCTGCTGTAAGTCAGGCCATGCTTCCGTGAACCACTTCCACCTCCACGCTATTTATCTGGAGCTCTGCGGGTTTGGCAACGGCTTCGCCAATGGCATCGGTGCCGCGCGCTTTCCAGTGGAGAAAGCCGAACGTTCGAAGCTGGGTGGGGGCCGAGGTGTCGGCCAGGCGCGATAGGTTTGAATTTAGTCTCGCGCGCCTACGTGCGTGCATGCATGCGTGTGTGCTGGCTTGCGTGCGTGTGTGCGTGGGCGGCCGGGGGCGGGGCGGGCGGGCGGGCGGGCAGGTGGGTGGGTGGGTGGGTGGGTGGGTGGGTGGGTGGGTGGGTGTGCTTTTGCGTGTACTCCAAACTAGGGAATCTCAAGCCTCTCCAAATGTGTCCCTACTTTTGTCTCAGGTTGTTTTGGTTGCTAGTTTGCCGTGTCCTCCACCATCCCACGCGGTTGGGGATGTCAACCAGCAGTTATCAGTTTCAGGCTGCCGAAAGAATGATTGACTCGCCTGGCGGGTGTTGGGTTGGGGTTGGTTTAGGGAATGGTAGGGGGCTTGCTTAGGTTGGTTTGGTGCCAGTTTGGGGTTGATTTGGGGCTAGTTTAAGGGCAGGTTTAGGCTTGCTTTTGTGCTGGCTTGGTGTGGGGTTGGTAGGATTGCTTCAGGGTGGGTTGAGGGCAGGTATAGGAATGGTACAGGGTTTTCTTATTGTTGGATTAGGGTTGGTTTAGGGCTTGGTGCACCTAAGGTTTCTCAAGGGTTTCTTTTGGGTGGGGAGAAAGGGTTCAGGATGTTTGAGAAGTTAATTTAGTTGTTGTCTTGGGTGGGTTTTGTGGTCGAGGGTACGTTTAGTGGTGGTTTAGGGGAGGTTTAGGAGGGTGGAAATGCATCCATTGATCTAGCCTAGGTTGCGCCTCACCAACCCAGGGGGCCGACCAACCGGGCCAGCGAAACCACGATGAAGGGTATCAGCCAATCTGGGACTGAGTGGTTATGCGTCAACTGGGGACCATTTGTCCTACCCCGCTTCAAAAAGAACAACCACCAGCACCACCATTGCCTAACTTGTTTGATACATTTGTGCATTTCCAATCGCAGGGGACCCCCCTTCTGGATTGCGTACAAGGGTCCAATCGGTATTTGAAGGTGCACCCAAATCCAGAGAAACCTTCTCTGCTGCATTTCGATGGCCTTTCCTAGGCAGAGGGGGCCATCCTGGCCAGGAAAATGCCCCAAGCCTTTCTCACTCTTTGGTTCCTCACTCGCTGGCCTTCTACCTTCAAGACAGATTTGGGACACGGGGAGCCTTCTCGCCTCACCACGGCAGCTCGGTTTCATAACCCTTCTGAGAACTTCTTGAGAAGATTCTGGGAACGGTGGGGGACGGGTCTCGGCGGGTGGCCTTGCTTTGACGAGAGTTTTGGGAAGGTTCCGGATGGGCCTATTCACCTATTCATCCTGCGTCGCAGGTGGGGGGAGAGGGGCCTGGTTGTTCCTCGCAGACAGGACTATCACGTGGATTTGCTTGCCCATCCTTTCAAGTGGACACAACCCCCTATGTATATAAATGACATCCAATGGTCCAACCCAATCAACCATCATAATTACGCGTGTTTCCTCTTCAAACAGCACTTCGCCAAAAAAGGAAACAAGCCCACAGGCCCACTTTTATTGTCTCCAGATCAAACCCAACTCTAAAAACCATAAGCCGAAATCGGTCCCAACATACCCCAGCCAAGCCCCGAGTACCCAAATCCATCCGCAGCCGCAGGTCTGCGCGGAGATCTTGGTGGAGGGCCGCTGGTACTGCCGGGGCCTGGTGCTTTCTGCTGGCGCCCCTCGGGGATCCGAGACGGACGGAGGCGCCGGTGGGGGGGTGGGGGAAATTAGCTGTGTAGTGACTGGCTGCATATCCCAAGGTTGTGAAATGGGGGGTGCCATCTTAGAATGTCAGTTCTCACAAGGGAGCCAAGGTGGAACCCGGTGGATTCACAGGGAGCTATGTCCCCCTGTGATCCGCATTCTGACCCAACCGGGGCACGTCGCTTCTGAGTGACAGAAAACGTATGTCCCTAATGCTGGCCTCAAAGAGGGCTTGTTTGATGTTTGCACATGGGCGGGGAAGCGGATCTCTCGGCTACCCAGGGGAGCTTGACCGTTGATGCGCGTTGGCTCCTTGGGCTCCGAACACGTGAGCAAGCACATGCTTCTTCAAGACACCGTTCATGCCTACTCGTGTGCGGAGATGTAGTGAAACCCCGACAGATCTGTCCCAAGTTTGGCCAGTTGGCTCCGTTTCCGGTGCCTGCGGAGCCTCACGCCCACAGAGTGGGACGTGAAGAAGCTGCTAGAGGCAAAGACCAACCCCCGCCAAAGGCGCCCAAGGCGCCCAAGGCGCCCAATCCTTCAGCAAACGGGAGCGAGCAGAAGGGAGCGATTCCAGCCCTGCTGCAACAGACTAAGCCCAAGAAGAGAGTGCCGCCAGCGCAAGACTTTATTCTAAACTTGCTCTTGGAGGCTGCCCGACGGCAGCTGAAACAACTTGGGGGGTGTGCCTGACCTGCCTGCGGCAAGGGCCCGAAGAACAGCCTTTGCCCGATCCTCGACCTGGCAGAGTGTGACCTGCGGGAGCTTCGGGCAGTGCAGCGACGGGGCGACTTGGGCCCTATGCGAGGAGCTGAGGCGGCGAGATCTGGATGCGATGACTGCCAATTTCGTGCAAAGCCTGGAGATACGGTGCTCAACACCTCCCCGCTCATTTTGAGGAACCAGGGAAGATGACACAATGCCCAGATGCATGCTTTGCTGTTTAGACTTGCCGTTTCGACGTGCCTGGTTTCCAGCAAGTTGCATCTTGCCCAGACACATGCTTTTCCGTTTGCCAGGGTTTGCCATTTCAACGTTGCTGATTCACAAGCGTCACAGGGGATGCCTACGAAGAGGACTTGTGGAAAGCAGGCTGGCACTTCTGGTGAAAGCTTTTTGTCCGCCCTTTCTCAAATGGCTTAGGTTGGTAGGCGTGTGGCCGTGTGCGTATGGATGATGATTGCAGGGTATCAGCGATTTTGGGCCAACATCAAGGAGCACTCCCGGAGTAACTGGTGGGGCGGGGGGGGGGGGCTTTGAGGCGGATGAAGCAGATACTCCGTTTGACCACGGCTGCATGTCCAAAGCTAGGTTGAGACTGGCTTGTTGCTAGGAGGCCCAGGGTTTGGAGGGGGTCCCTGTTGGAGACACTCCCACATGTCTTGAAATGGGAGACCGCTGTTCGTCAGGGCTTGTTTTTTTCCCCCCCCCCTTTCCTGTGGGGTTCTCCTCAATTTTGAGAGGCGAACTTGCCTGTAGTTGTGACCCCTCGAAAAGATGACGAATGCTTTCCCACTAAAAGCACCTGATTGCAAATACATCAAAGAACACATCAAACAGCCTGTGCAAGGTTCCAAATTAGTTTGCAGCATACATCGGGTTTGCAAATTGCAACCCCCCTTCCCCCTCCCAACAACAAAGACAGAAAATAAAGGAAAACCAGAAACAGCAGAAAAGAGAAAACAAGAAGCTTCTCCCCGGCCATTGTTGCCTGAATCCAGGGGAGGCAGATTTGGAGGCGCTGGGGCTGCTGGCCTGGCGGGTGGTGCAGCTGCTGCAGGAGAAGAACGTACCGCACAACGTGATGCTGGTGCCGTACCAGGCGGGGGAGAGATTTTTTTTTTGTCTCTCCAATACCTGAAAGCTATGGGGTCTCAGCCCAGATAGGCTCCGGGGTGATCAGGAACGGCCTGAGGTAAGGTTCCACGAGGGTTCCACCAGGTTGACACCAGGGTTCCACCAGGGTTCCACGCGGGTGTGCGAGGGCTGCGGGGTGGGCGAGCACTAAAAAGAGCACCGCATGCTGTTAGGGGATATCACCTGAGCTTCTTTTTTTTCTCCAGTGGCGGGGTGTGTGATTTCAATAACGGCATTGCAGGGGTGTTCTTTTGGGAATGAGGTTTAAAGTGGACATATAAGCATCCGAGATAAGGACCTATGGGATTTGGGGGTTGGGCCACCAATCCTTTCAACGCTGGGTTTTCTGGTTCCGTGAGTGTGGGATCATTTGTTGCGATGTGTTTCACTTGAGTCGTGTGCCCCCTTTTTCGGTTTGGGGCGTTTTGTTTTTTTGGGGTGTTCACGCACTCACATGATACTGATGGTGTTCCAGCTACGGCGTGGGCACTTGATGCATGTCCCCCGTGACATGCGGAACTCATGTAGACCTGTGAAAGAGTGGTTGCTTGTGGCGCTTGCTTTACGTCACGGTTCCTATTAGACCCGGCCCCATGTCGGACCGAGCGTCATTCTCTTGTTCCTTTTGGCCTGCGGAGCAGGAACACCACCTTTTGTTGGCCATTTGCCAATGTGTATTTCCTGTTGGTGTGGCAAGTGCATTGGGGACGAGTTTTTGGAAAAGGGATCGTTTGGGTTGGGTCGGCTCAGGGGGAAGATGTCAGAGGGAAGCGCCAGTCTTTCCCTTTAAAGCCGCGGTACAAGAACAAACCCACTCGGTCCGTTTCATTTTGGATGTTTTCGTTGGAGCCCCCTCAAGCCCGTATATAACTCCCGCTGCCATCCCTCCACCTCCCCGCTCACCCCACCCGGGCCAGGGCGAGCGCAAGAAGCCGCCCGAGCCCGAGTTCTCAGGGCTGGTGGAGGAGCCACCACCACCCGCGGCCTCCCCGGAGATCTACATCTTCCCGCGGCAGGCGGCAAGGGCCTGAGTTGTTTCAGGTTTGCAAAGGATGGGGGAGGCCTTAGTCGGTGGACACTGGAGAGAAGGAGCCAGAGAGAGAGAGAGAGAGAGAGAGACAGAGAGAGAGGGAGAGAGAGAGAGAGAGAGACTAGTTTCTTATTGGGTCCTCTCCTCGGGCATATAACTGGGCCCCCACACTCCTATTCGGGCAAGGTGCCGTAGGGCCGGTGGATGCAAAAAGGAAGTCCAACACCAGGCTCTGCTGAAAGCTCTCTTGTCGGAACCAAGCCTGTTCCAGATTCAAAAATGCTCTAACTGATTCTGAGCAGTTAGCAACGAGGGAATGCATGAGTGGACAGGTGGGAACTGACCACCTGCAAGGGAGGAAATCAGATCCTATCCCGGATCCCTCTTTATTCCCTTTTCATTGTCTGAGTTCATGCATTGCTCCGCAAATCTGATCTGGGAGTGGGAGAAATGTGGAGAAATGTGTGTCCAGGTGAGCCAATCAAGCCCTGCGCGACTGAAGGTAAAGGAAGCAGCTCTTTAGTTTTGGGTAGGCCGCTCTAACACCAGGTTTCGATTGTGATTCAGGTTTTTGATGGGGACAGTCTTGGGGAGGCCGGCAGTTTCTGGACGTCGGACTTGTCTGGCGGCTCTTTGCTCTACAAAGCCAACACAATCTCGCATCTCTGTCTTTCAAGGCGTTTGTCATGCACAAGCACGCGACTACTTTGTCACTTCAAAGGCAATTGCCTGGTATCAAAGAAAGTCGCCTTAAAACCCAAGTTTCGACCATGGTCCTTGATGGGCCTAAAGCTATTGGGATTCCGGCCCCCTTGGCTTCGAGCGCACCGAGTCCCGACCGATTTTCCAAGGCGAGCGCCTGCCGGGAGGACCCCGGGTTCAACGCCGCCATCATGGAGATCAGCGGGCTGCTGGTGGCGCAGAGCGAGCAGCACTTCCGGGAGATGGACCAGGCAACCGCCGAGGACATCTTCACCAAGGCGCGCACGCTTTCAAAAGGGTGCGATAGGGCAGGCCGGATCACAAGGCGAAGGGAAGGTCTTTTTTGTGGCTGGAGTGCGTGAGCGAGGGAGTGAGGGAGGGAGTGAGGGAGGGAGGGAGGGAGGGAGTAAGACTTGCATGCCCGCTATCTGGAGGCGGCCCTTTAGGGCAGGTGATGGCAGGTGTGCCCACATATGTACAGCACACAACATCTGGCAAGGCAGTACCGTCACGGATCTATCTCTCTCAGCTTGTCTTGCAACAAATTGCACAAACTAGCCCGAATAAGTTGCCCACTCTCTGGCATGCAGCCACGCGCTGCCGAAAAACGGCGTCTATGTTGGCATAGGCATAAAAGGAGGGTATGGTTGGCTGCTTTGGCAGAAGATGCTTCAGTGGGTGAAGGTGCTTCGTCGGGCGCATGCGTCACAAGAATCGACGTTGCCCTGCTTCTGGGGTCCCCGTTTCAAGCGGAGGGCAGGCGAAGGAAGGGCTTGGGGCGCTGGGGCGTTGGTGGTTGGTTGCATAAAAATAGGTTGGCTTGTTGCCGTTGGTTTGGAGAAAGCTGGGTGAGGTCCCAATTCAATCTAACCCACAAAACCATTGCAAACAACCAACCGCAACAAACAAATCAAGCGGTATAGTTGTTTCTTGTTTTGTTCGATGGGGTCTCGGAACTTCTTTGGCTGCCAGCTGGGAACCTCCAACTTTGACCGGCCCCAAATGCATGAGTGGGAGATCCCCTGTTCGGATGGTTTTACAGGGCAAGCAAAAGCAAGCGCTCATGTTTTCCTCGATTTCGGAAACACACCCATATTTGTCATTGCTTTGGCTTCTTGCTTGAGGACGTGTCGCTGCCTGTCCCAGAGTTCGAGGACCTCATCTGCAAAGTCACCTGGATGCTGTCCGAGTCTTGAGGCTTTTGCGCCGGTGCGGCCGCGATCCCGGCGTCACGGCTCTCGGCTCGCTCCGGGTTCACGTCGCGTCACTGGCGGAGCCGGGGCCTGGCATCGGCCGGCGCGAAAACCTGCGCCGGCGCTATGCCACAGCGCGACAGATCGTCAGTGGCAGCCCTGGCGGCCCTCGCTCCTGTCATGTTTTTTGTCACTTTCTTTTTGGGCCTGGGAGGGCATGATGATTCCATTCAGATGCTTATCACTTGTTTCAGGTATTTGGTCGGGGGGTGGCGCTGGCATGGCCGCAGCGTGCGGCATGCCACACGTCGCAGCTTTTGCTCCGCGCAAAGACCGCTCCGTGCGACGCAAGGAGGGCAACAAAAGGCCGCCCCCAATTCTGCTGAACCGACAGCCAATGAGCCTGGAGGCCTTGTTCTTGATGAGGTCCGGGACGCCAAAAGGCATATCCCGTCCCAGCAGACGCCACTGAGTGGAGCTATCAGGCTGCCCTGCCGCCACCAAGTCCAGGGTTGCATGGTTCCTAAGCTATGCCTCCAACGGTGGATTTTACTGGTTGCTTTCGTCTTGAGGATCTTTCTTTTGGCATTCTTCTAGGGTGGATCCGCACTCGGGCCTCCAAAACAGCCCCTAGAGTTCACGAAGCAGGTTTGTTTACTCGGTGAGGAAATGGCCACATTGTGCTCTTAATTGGTGGATTGGGTCGTGGCTGCTCAATTCTGGCAAAAGCCCCACCCCATAACCACCAGGCCTCCAAACCATCAATTGGAAGACCGCCAGCAGGTCATTTGTCTGCTGCCTTGGAAAACATTTTTCTTGTACGCACATACGCCCTCATATACTCGATATACCCCTTATATGGCTCTTACAGACTTGTTGCATACCCTTTATGCCTGCATTTGCCATACGTATAGGCCGGTACCCGCATCCCAGTTTTATAGTTGGGATGGGTGAAGGACGAGGAGGAGCAACAGTCCCTCCTGCAGGCACCGACCGGGCAGAGCCAACACGGGTCCATGTGTTGCGCTGCCGGCCGGCCGGCAAACCAGAAACAGGGTGTGGGAAGCTCACGTGGTTCACAATCAAAGCCCGGTAAACGAAGGGTAGTGAGGGACAGTCGCAATCAGAAATGGGCGCGGCCGCCCTCTGCATTCTTTTCTGGTTTGGTTTTGGGTAGACGCTTTTCCTCAACTAGGGGATCTCAATCGCACATGACACGGTAAATGGTAAGGAGTTGATTTCTTTGCAGGCACCTTTTTTGGTAGATTTGCCTTTTGGGAAGGCGATGGAGATCCTTGCTTGGGGTGCCTCATAGTTGGTGAAATATCTCGTCTCTAATGCTTTGCATTTGATGTGACCTTACTTAGCTGCTAGCTGGTTGGCTGCCTGTTGAGTTAGGTTCCCCGTTTTGCCACTTGGTCCATTTGTCCAGCTCCGCGTTGAGACCAGCGGCTTGAAGCATCCGCGTAAGTCAGCGGGGCGGTTTCTTGGCAACACCCAGTGGCCTTCAGTGGCTTGCGCCGAGTGGGTTGGTTGGGATCCTGGGGCCACGGCAGAGTCCGCGTCTCCGAGTTTCCGCTTTCTTGGCCCCTTTGCCGCTTTGCGCCCATGCGCCCATGCAGGCCGACATGTTTAGCCCCGTTTCTCTTGCGTCGAAGGCCCCGAAAGGATTGGGCCTGGGTCAGGTGGCTTTATGAAGCCGGCCTTGTCCAGAATCCACGTTGCTTGTGTTCCCCAAAATAGGCGGGAACTCCTCCCAATAGCGAGTTTATAAGTGAATTCCTTCAAGAGGCATGTCAACATGTGGCTCGGGCACTTCTCTTCGTGGCTTGGTCCTCTCAGGTGGAGGGCCGTAAAGCCAAGAGCGCCGCTTTGCTGGAGGCTCTGGACTGGGCGTGTCTGCACTCACGGGCACTGGCCAGGAAGAAACTGAGCTCGGGCTCTATGGCGCCTTACTTTGGGCAAAGCAGAGCTGGCAGGGTTTGAGCGAGCTACCTTGAGATGAACAAGCATGTCAAAGAACCAGTTCCCACAATAGTTGACTTGCCTATGAACGAAATGCCCGCCTCTGAACACTGTCGCTTGTCGCATACGCAACTACCACAGCTTGCCAGGTTTGGCTGCGCATGTGGAGCTGCTTTGTGCTTTCCTGCCTGTTGCCGGCATTGTTCCGTATCATGCTTGACCCAATGGACGGAGGCCAGCGCTGAGGGAGAAGGGCTCTGAGGGAGGTGGTGCTCACGCGCAGCTGAAAAAGGGAGTCGCTTGGGGTGCTTGAGGTGGGAAACCAGTGGTGGTGGTGGTGGTGGTGGTTCCGCTCGGGGGAAGGGAGGCAAAAACCTGAGAGCAAGGGCTGTTCCAGTGTTACGGCGCAATACAAAAATCTCCCTCCAGAGCTTTGTGTCGGCGGACGCTCGGAGTGGTCGTCAAGCAAGCCTAGTCCGGACAAGGGTTCCCAAGATAGCAGCCATGAATGGGTGCGACTGCCCTTTCAATATTCACATGGTTTGATCGTAAGCCGTCAAAACGTGACAGAACCGACTAAATCCGATATCCAAATGCCAGTGGACTTGCTCTGTGAAGGGCAGGGTGGTCGCCCAAGTTTGCCACGTTGGATTGACCCTTTGATTGAACGCGTTTGTCCCCATTTCAAAATGGCAACGCTTGAGCCCGTCGGCCCTAGGGCCCTAGATTTCTTCGCTGGCAATAATTTCTTTTTCTCCACAGGTTACGGTAGTTTGAGGCTAGTATCGGACTGGTTCCCTTTGGGCCTTTGGCGGGCTTTGGAAGCTTGGAACCGCGCCATGTAGTTGTCGGCCCAACCGGGCCATGTAGCTTTTCAAACACAGCAGAGAGCTATCAGGATGGCACCGTCATAAGAAAGGAGGCGCAGGGCCTTGTGGCGAAATACGTTGGTCGAGTTTCCTGTGATGTTCCCTGCTGCTCAGGCTGGCGTCGCAAATGCCGGAGTGAAGCCAGGCTGAGGAAAGCAGCCTACAAGAAACCACAGGGGAGTTGATCATGCATGCTTTTTCCAAGAGGGATCCACAAGGATGGATCTTTTTATCTTTTTCATTCTTCCAGACTCCTTACTTCACACCCAGCCCACCTTCGTTGGCTTTCGCCCTAGCGCTGCCATGGGCTTTGCCCCCGGCGGCCTGCTGGGCGCTCTACTGGCACTTGGCGCGCTGTGGCGGCGCAAGGGTTGGGACAAGGCCGGGCCGAAGTGTGGCACTTGGGTGGCTTCGCAGAAGTGGTCAGACCTCAAACATGGGGCGAGAAGAAGGAATCCTCCACTGTTTGTTCTGCTTTTTTCGAGGGCAT